AGTACAACTGCAAAAACAGCAATAAAAGTGTGCTGCGTGTTTCCAGCTGTACACACACATGGCTGTCAATCATCAGATGAACAGCAGGCCCTGCACATTAATAATGCCTGAATTTACGTGCTCCCACTCTGTTGCATGTTTAGGCTTGGATGAATTGCCCACCTACTGTACCTCTGAATGCAGTGAGGCTGGCCTGAAATGTGCTCTGATGTTTGTAAGTTGGAGAGATTGTACTTTTCTTGGACAATGACTTGAAGTATTTTCTTTTGGTGGCTTTAGTCCAATGAGTCTGCAGGACTCTTATAAGTGACTGGCACCTATGAGCCCCGGTGGCCTTGTCAAGCCTCTCTGTTTTCGTTTAACATATTTCTGCCTCCTGTCTCAGTTTAATGTCCACTGACCTTGAAAAAGAAGGTTTTTTTCATGTCGTAAAACACAGGTGACATTTGTGTTTCTGTGAAGAAATATTTCCCACAGAGCACAGCTGACACACTAAAGCACAGCAAAAAGACTGATTGGAAAAAGAGAACCATACCATAAATGTTCTTTTTTTTCTATGGCAAAATTGCTGGACTTTTTATTTGTATTTTTTACTCTTATTACAGATCACAAAAACATGAAGAATTTCTCCTTTTTATATTTCTGGGCATTGGAGGAGAATGCTTAACAATATAAAAAATGAACTTTATCATATCACCATCATAGCGTTGTCTCCCATAGCCAGCTTTGAATAAATGGCAAAAGGACTGTTCCACACTGCAGTTTATTCTGGACAAAACCACCATACTTGTATGCAGTATGATGGAAGCGTGAGTCTGACTGACTTGTAAATCAATCAATCATTTTTTTATGTGGCTTTTCTTTAGGGAACATTTGGCGGAACAGTTCTGCTATATATTTATAGAAGTATATTTAGTTAAATTGCTCAAACACAACTATAATCATCTAATTTAGAAGAAATCCTCATTAATATCCTCAATACAACACACCATTCAAAATTTTGGGGTCTATAAGATATTTTCTCTTATGCTCACCAGGGCTTATTTTTTTTATCGAAAATCAAGTAAAAATCATAATTTTGTGAAATATTATTACAATTTAAAATAACTGCTTCCTATTTTAAAATGTAATTTATTTCTGTGATGGCAAAGCTGAATTTTTCAGCAGCCTTTTACTCCAGGCTTCAGTGTCACAAAATCCTTCAGAAAACCGTTCCAATATGCCGAATTTAGTGCACAATGCTGGAAACAGTTGTGCTGCTTAATATTTTTGTGGAAACCATGGTACATTTTTTTTCAGGATTCTTCGATGAATAGAAAGTTCAAAAGAACAGCATTTATTCACTTTAATTAATTTAATGTATCCTTGCTGAATAAAAGTATTACTTTCTTTAAAAAAAACTTATTGACCCCAAATTGTAATAGGTAGCATTTCAAAAACCCTCAGTCAGATTTAAATATTAAAATATATCACTTTCATCTCATTCATTTGTTCACTGAAGCATATAATATATTCAAAAACCCCTCAACTGACACATAAGTTACAATAACTGGATCACAAGGACCCTGTTGAAAGCAATATGAGGATAAATAACATCGCTCTAGAGTAAACGGTGCTCTTTCTATGTGGCTTATGAGATTCCTGCACAACCCGCCCCTGATGCAACATGTGAAAATACATCTAAAGCGCTAGACAACGTTCTGAGAAATATTTTCCTGCATGCTCTCACTTTACTGCGAGCTCTCATCTGCACTGAGAGTGCGGCATATTGATCTATATCATACAGGACGGCCCTAAACCCAATACCACGCATGCAGGGAAAACACGGAGTGAGATTCCTGCCATTAAGTTTCCCATTAAAGTGCAATTTGACATAAAATCCCTGGCATGCACCCTGGAATTCTCTCGCTTCTTGTTTTCAATGAAACTCCCATCAGGGTTCCTGTTGCGCTTTATTTCGTATTTTTCTTACACAATGGCCTCTTTAGTTTTCCATCAGAGGGTTTGAGGCTTAGCTGGCCCGACAGCTCCTTTGCCACGTCTGATCTCTGAAACTTCAAGTGAGCTGAGGAGTGATAGAAAGGAGGAGAGAGCTCCTTTAGATCCAATTTGTTCCATTAAGCTACATTAAACCAAAGTGGCATCTCAGAATCCACCGGTTAAAAGACGTCTGGGCTAAAACATTAGCTTCTTGGCTAACACAGTGTAGAGACAGACAGACAGACAGACATCTGTTTAAAAAAAAAAAGAAAACAGAGCGTAGATCTAAAATTTCAACCTTATGCCATATTAATCTGAAACTTGAGGAATGTGTGTATTAAGATATTCTGGAATGCAGAAAGAAAAAAAAATGGAAGGAAAGCGAATAGCAGAGAATAAAAGAGAGAGAAACCTTAGAGGCAAATTATGCAAACCCCTTTTCTCCAGTAATACGATTGAATGACAAATTCAATATCAGTTTAATTCAGCATTTATTGCTGTATTTCATTCTGATTGATCCCTTATTCACGGTTGTGCAATTGTTGCCGTGTATGATCCTGTGCTTCTAAACCTTTCGTCTGGCATATACTCACGCGCAAAATGACAAACAGACCATCTACCTGACAAAGCCATCCGAGTCCTTAGCCAGGAAATGGTATTTACCATGAAAGCCTCATAAATATCCATTAAGAGTATAACTGCGTTTAGGAAAGAACTGATTTAAGATTAAATAAACAACAAAACACACTAAAGCTCTTTTTCATTGTCTCTCTCAGCAGGTGTCTACACAAGCAACCTCGACTTCACATAGCGCACAGGGAGTTTAAACGTTGGTCCAAAATGTAGTTAGCAACAGCTTTTGGGTTTGAAGAGAATTCCAGCATTTTGTTCCTCAGCTCCGAGATAATGCAAACCATGTTTGTCAGTAAGAAATGGCAAAATAAAATGAGAAACAATGTAAAACAAAGACTGCACGACGAGATCCTAGAGGCTTGATGTGAACAATAATATGCAAGCGAAGAAGTGAGGAGCAAACAATGTTATCAGTTATGAATCCTGTCAGGAAAAAGACGCAGTGTTCTGACCTGAAGAAACCCTGTGGTTCCTTATCGAGGAGAAGAGAGCAAATGCATGCGCTCGCACGCCTTAGTCCCGACACAGTATCTCAGATAAATTCCTACGAATGATCAATAGGGCCTGACATTCTTCCAGATGATGATGAACAGGGCTTAAATAATTGCCAGAACTCTCCTGAAGCATATTTGTCATTTTGGATTGTCCAAAAGATTTGTGATAACATCACAAACACCTGGAGGACTTAAACAGCACATGGGAGCAAACACAGCCGACTGTGAGACTGCAGACGCTCCCTGCCGTGATACTCCGAACCAACGTTGACCTCAAACAGACGAGTTAGAGACTCCTAAACTATGGTGGAGCTTGCCTTTTTTTGTTAAATGAGAAAGCCTGGGTTAGGTGAAAGCTCTAGAAAGCGAATAAAGCCATTATCAAGCAGCTGCAAAGAGGAAATTGACAGAAAATGGCTCAAAATGGCAATTTATTTACTTGTTTATTTTCCAAATAATCTCACTAAATAATACACTACCATACAAACATTTGGGGTCAGTAAGATTGTTTAATGTTTTGGAAAGAAGTCTCTTATGCTCACCAATGCTGCATTTATTTGATCAAAAATACAGCATGGTTTAAAATAATGGTTTCTCTTTATATAGTCTATATTTTAAAATATAATTCATTTTTGTGGTGGCAAAGCTGAATTTTCAGCATCATTACATTCCTTATTATAATCAATGTTGAAAGCAGCTGTGCTGCTTAATATTTCTGTGGAAACCTTGATAATTCTTTTTCAGGATTCTTTGATGAATAGAAAGTTCAAAAGAAAAGCATTTATTTAAAATAGAAATCTTCTGAAACTGTCACTTTTGATCAATTTAATGCATTCTTGCTGAATAAATGTATTAAGTACTTAATAAAAAAAAAAATATACGAATCTTACTGACCCCAAAAACTGCACATCACCCACTTAATCTCATTTAAAATGAAAATATCAAATGTAAAAAATATACATTTCTACTCTTATCAGTTGTTTTAAGAACCTCAGAATGTCTTATGGAATTTAAAAGCTGAAACCACTGAATAGACAATTTCACTTTCTTTAGTTACCTATGGTATGACATTTTTTTTTTTTTTTTTGAGATATGCAATGACCTCAGGAAATTCTTCAGGTCAGAGTTTGACCTTTCAGACACTGCAAACTCTCTAAGAGAGTTTCCACACACACACACACACACACGCACTGTAGACAAAGATTTTTATACTGTACAAACTGTATATTCTATCCCCTAACTAAACCTACTCCTAAAACTACCTCATGAACGCTGTTTTGATCAGAGACTTTCTTTGAAGTTGTTGACATGAACTCAAAACTGTGTTGAATGTGTGTAATACTGAAAAAATAATGAGATAGAGAGAATGAAGATGGAGGAGAGAGAATAACTGTCACAATGATTAAAGAAGTAATGATAGTTAATGGGCTGAAGACTAAACCAGTATGAGCTAAGTTTACTCTACAGTACGTCCTACTTCTTTGCAAGTTCAAATCTAAACTTGCATGACCTAAAACGTTTTATCAAAAGTACAAAGCTTAATACAAAAGCACAAATTCTTTGAACTATTGAACTGCAATATTTTTTAACATACTAGTATTTTCATACTATTAAAAACATATTTACAAATGTCAATTTTAAATGAAATGATTTATATGTGTGAGAGAGAATAGAGAAACAAATGACCCCTCTGTGACTCTACTTGTTGTAGAACAAGAAGCCAAAATCATACATGGATTCAAACACAGCTGATACTGGGCTGATGAAACTGCTTCAAGATGCCCTTCTTCCTCTCAAAGAGCAAGAGACACACACACACACACACACACACACACACACACACACACACACACACACAGAGAAGGAAAGAATGTAAGACTGGCAGCAGCTCACCAGTCCTGTAGATAAAGTTGGCTTCTGCCTCTGAAGAAGATGGTGACAGCAGGTCTTCATCATACTCATTAGAGCTGAAAGAGCCTGAGTGGTTCCTCCTCCGCGCGTCCATTACGCCATTGGCCACCATTACGTGGCGGAGCGAGTCGTTAAGGTAACGGTGCAACAGGCTGCTCTTGTATTTAGGTGGCGACACATAGTCATCAGACAATGATGCGTCAGCAGCTGCTCGAAGACCCGCCCCCACGGCACCACCTTCCTTCTTGATGACGCTCTGGTACATTGGCTTATGAAACTCCCCGACCTGGGCCCGTGCTGCTGGGTCAACATCTGGATGTGATGCAGGATACATGAAAATATGTCAATACAAATTGGGGAAGACAATTGGCAAAAAAAGAGAAGTGAACTATAAAAGGGCTTTGCCCTTTTACACCTTCTCAGCAGGGAGAGACAAGGTCACATTTTCATGTAATCACCCTTCTCTTCTGCATGACCCCTCCAGCACATTGAAAACTCTTGACTGGATTACACTCCTTGAAAACACGGGCCTCCCAAATGCAAGTGAGTGTGTAAGATCAAATTTGGTGCTGAGAGACTGATTACTGCTATACAGAGGGTGAAGCACAGAAGGGTTGATCGTTGAGCCTTCAATGGCCTCGTTTGAGAAAGTATCAAAAAAATTACCGTAATCAAAAAGTTCAAAATCTATTCTTAGATTTAGATAGATTTTCAGAAGATAAAATACAAAAATGTATGCAAAATATACGCCCCACTAAAATGTGCAAAAAAAGTAAGAGCAAACATTTCATTGCTTGAAATAAATGGCACCTACACTACCGTTTAAAATGTTGGTGTAAGATTTAAAAATATATATAAATTATTCAGCAAAGTGACCGTAAATATTAATAACTTTAGTAGAACTGCAAGTGATAAATCTTTAAATCTTTGGTGTAAGATTTAAAAAAATATATAAATTATTCAGCAAAGTGACCGTAAATATGAATAACTTTAGTAGAACTGCAAGTGATAAATCGTCTAGTTTCATTCTTCTTTTTGGTAACAAAATTAATAAAAGTATCATCTTTCTCATCAAAACCCTTTGGACATTCCAATAATCATATCTCAGCCTCGGAGAGAGTGTGTTCAGTTGATCTTTCCGTTCTGTTGATCATTCTTTAAAAAACACCCTATTATTCATCTCATGTTATTTGCTCAGCCACCTGTAGTCCCATCAGTGATCCATTAAAGATCATAAATGAGAGACATAGACACGTTTTATTACTGGATGATTTAAGAGACATGCCTTTTGATTTTATTTTTGATTTTAGAAAACTAACTATTAGGGGCATTGATGCTGATTGTAATACAACAGCAGTTGGAAGGTCCAAAATGTTTTCTCTCAGATGACATTGCCCCTCATGTAACAATTACAAAAAAGTTTAGTTATCAAAAGGCAGAATAAAATCAGACCATCACTCGCAGTTCCACCATTTTTATTTATCTCTTGATTTGTCCTTGTGGTTTTCAGCACACTTTAAAGGGATAGTTCACCCTAAAATTAAACTTCCGTCATATTTTACTCGCCCTCAAATTGTTCCAAACGTGTATGAATTTGAGGGAGAGTAAATGAGGAATTTTCATTTTTGGGTGTACTATCCCTTTAACACATGTAAGTCTTGAGTAAAATCTATATAATCTTGGACTCTCAAATTCTTTTGAATTGGCAATTTCATCTTAAACTTAAACTATGTGTGTGGATTCTTTTTTGGTTTTAATTGACTCATTTGAGAAGGTCCATGGGCCAAATTACAATAGTTTTTTCAGCATATTAGAGCCACATCACTCACTCCACATCCTAAAAGTCAACATTTTTTAAAGATTGTTTTAGTGCACCCTTATTGTATACTACCTTGACAACCATTCCATAATGCAGGAAACAAAGGTAAACACACTGGAGTTCACACAAACGCAATATTTCCTAGGATACAGGGTTAGGATTGCGTGAGTGAATGCCTCCTAAGTGAGCTAGGATTTCACTGCAAGGCTCTATCTTGACTCAAATGTGTGAAGAGTGTGTCTGAAGCTTAGATCTTCTGTGTAGCACATAATTACTGAGCTCAGACACGGGAACGACAGACCTGATGAAACGTCTGTGCAACAAAACTTTCCCTCTAAACAACTAAGACATTTCATATGCATAGTAAACAACTTGTACCATGTTACATGATGTGCTTGTATAATCACAGTTCACAATATTTGAGTGAATCCCACAGAAAACATGTCAGAAGATAAGAAGTCAAATATAAAAAGGACTTCTTTTTTTCATAACATCTCCCTTAATTTCTTTACTTTTGACCTTTTGGGTTTTATTATGTGTTTGTAATTCTGTGCTTTTCTCAATGTGTGTTGTGACCAAGAGATAATTCAAATATGTACAGAAAGACATATTTTCCTCTAGAAATATTTCAATAGCCAAGTTTGCATCTAAAGATTTTTGAGCAACAAGATTTAGCGCATCAAACTATTTACTGAAATACCTGATGGAACTGCTCATTATTGATAAAATTCTGCAAGTGTCAACAATCATTTTCCGTTTAATTTGAGCAAATCGATTCTATGACAAGTTTACATTTGACCAGAAGGTGAAGGAATTAGAGGTCAAAGGTTAAGCCAGGCTGCTGACACGGATTGTATGCTATTCAAGTGTAAGAAAAGCGGGAAGTTATTTGTAGGATGAGACAGATGTGAGAGGCAAAGACTGGGCATTCCTCTTCTAACCACAGAGTGTGTGTCCTTCTCCAAAACATCTAATCAAGGCACCAAATACAGTGTGTGTGTTTGGAGGCCACTGTTAAGCACAGGGGGATGATAAGCGTTCTGACTGAATGTCTGAATGACTGAATTGTGTGCGGATGCTTATGTTAAGCGATGTGGCCAACAAACATGCAGTCTGTCAGAAAGCCAACAACATCCCTGCAGTTGTAACGCCTGAGCATGTGAATTAGAGAAAAAAACGAGAGGGAAAAACGAGAGAACTTTAGATAGTAAGCTAGGATGTTTTTGTGTTTATGCATGTAAGTGCAAGATTGTGTGTGAGTGTTTGTGGTTGAGTCCAGACGCCCCATTGTGGTGTGTTAATCACAGTGTGCATGTCTGTAAGCCTACGCGTCTGTCCGGTTCACTTAAACACAGAGGATGAACACACGAACATACCCCGACCCTGATTTATGGCCCGGCTGCTATACGATGCTATAAAAATGTTTGGAGTGTTGCACTGACTGTAATAAAACATCTGCGTTTAAGCATCCTGTCTGGTCTGTTTCAGCTACATGCTGAATGAAACCCCAAGCAGTTTCTTATAAATACCACAACACTTCATACCAATCAGATTTAGCACCAGGATAGGTGAATTTGTTTGTGCTTGTTTGTTTTAAAGAGCAGTTTTGCTTGGACATTGTGTTTGTGTGTATTCTCAAGCAGTGATTAACAGGGTTTATGGCAATATCTCTGCAACACATGTTGTACATGTATGACTAAAAATGCCCATTCTGAAAGGAACAGTTCAAAAACAAAAATCCTGTCATCATTTACTCACCCTCACTGACTTGAGAAAGAAGATATTTTGAAGGAAGTTGTGATTGTTTTTGTCCATACAATTAAAGACATCGGGGTCCAAAAAATATTGATTTTGGGTTGAACTGTATTGTATGATTCAACACTATATCCACCACGAAAACTTTGTGACGACATGTTCCCCCCAATTTTCTTATTAGTGGTCAATTAATATGCATATTTCAATGACTAATTGTTCAACTTTACATTCAGAAAAAAGGGACAGTTCACCCAAAATGTTTGAAGAATGTTGCCCATACAAAGAAAGACAGTGGGGTCAAAAACAACATTGGACCCCATTGACTTTCATTGTATTGACAAAAAAACAGAGAAATATATTAAACGATTTTCTTTTGTGTTCAACAGAAGACAGAAAACCACACAGGCCTGGAACAACACGAGGGTGAGTAAATCATAACAGCATTTTCAATATTTGAATATTTTTTCTCACATTAAACTCAAACAAACTGGGAGAGATTTTTTTAACTACTCATGTACTGTTTGAAGCCATTAACATTGAGTGAAACAATACTGACTCTTCAAAAGCTGTCTGCAAGTTGGGGAAGGCTATTCCGTGCAAAGTCACTTTACAGTATTTGTGCAATTCTTGCTAATTTCCTGACCAGCGATTTTTAATTGAAGTGGTTAAGACCATTAAAATGCCAATAAATATGTTGCCATTTTTGGCTTGTTAATCTATATATTTGGTCCCCCACACTGTTAAATATTAAATATCCTTGGTTTCAGCATCACATTGACACCTCTGTCTCTTGATAAATACAGTGTAAGAATCTTTAGGCTATGATTGTGTCATGATAGAGCCTGTGTGTCGTACCATCAGAGCAGGAGTCATCACTGCTGACGCTCAGTCTTTCTGCGTTGCCCTGGACGTATTTGTTGTAGAGTTTGATCCTGAGGGCCCAACTCAAATCAGGCTGCCTAACTGTGTTCTTCAGCCGCCGTCGAGCATTTGCAAACCAGTTAGACACCTGTGAAAAAAGGGAGGGTGTTGAAATGGTATTGAGGAAAGTTTGACCAATAAATAAAAATAATTATGAAGGTTTGAAAAAGACACAACAATCTTTTGTTGTCTTTTACTGATTCAGTTTTTCTCTCCTCTGTATGCCTATAAGTATCTGACACACAGACATGCGTGTTTGGACTAAGAGACCCAGATTGTTTATTGGGACACTATGAAAACCAATAGGCTGATGCCACATGCAAATATCCTAGGAACACTGTGAACGTAACATTCCTAAAGTTACATTGATGAAGACCTGGGTGCTTATTCTGGCTTCTGCCACTCTCACCTAATAATATTCCTTTTCCTCTGCCCGACGTCTGTCTTTTTGCAATAAAAACATTCGCCCCAGCCTTCTCCATTTCACAGAGACCAGAGACCATTAGATGTTATACTAGGAACACTTTTCATGCCCGATACACTTCAAGCCACTTATGACAGGCATTGTGCTGGGGCACTTCTTTAAAAAAAAATTATTTAAGCCCTGAGTTTCCTGAACTCTGCTTTATATAAAGTTCTCAAAGGCCAACAGCCATATTTTTCCTTTTAAACAGGTCAATGGAGGCAAGTAGTTTTTGGAGGAAGCATTGAGGTATCATACGATCGGGGCCGGTGCCGGGGCCCTTCCCACTGAATGCGAGCAAATCTGAAAGCGAAAAGCGAGCACGCATTCGAAAGTGATTACAAATATGTGAAATGCATGCATGTGGTGAACGTGATTTCGGCAGCCACTTTTTTCCATATTGCTGTGCAGTCTGCTCACTTTTTTTTTTAAACAAATGGCTCCTTTTCATGATTATTAGAACCAGATAAAAAAATGTTAGGGTCATCCAGGATAGCATCTCCAGGCTGAGCCAATTCTTAACAAATTTAGAGAACATGTTTATGTCTTCATGTGTATATACAGAGACACAGACTGAGACAGATATGTACACAGAAACCGACACAAACTGGAAAACGCATATGTGACGAGTTAAACACAACCCATGTGTCTCTAAATTTAAATATATATTGGCTAAACAATAAAAAAGAAGAAAATCTTTACTAGAGTAAACCTGAATTTGCTTGCAGCTTGTGTTTGGAATGAACACCTGCACCTTCATCTTATTGGAAAAAGAAAACTGTCATTTTAATAATCCTTCTGTCAAGAACCAGTAGCTCTTGGTAGCACGCTTATGGAAAGCTTGTGGAAAATGAACTTACTCACCTGCACAAGTGTCATTTGCGAGCCAAGCGCGAGAAGGATTTTCTCTGTTTTAGTGGGGTAAGGATTGTCCCGGTGTTTGTAGAGCCACTGTTTCAAAGGCCGGGCCATGTCCTGGAGAGCTTGCCGTTTATGCCGTACCTTTCCTGGGTTCTGACGAGACCTGTGGAAAATAAACAACATAAATCTCATGACAATTATGTAAGACTTAAAAATGGGCACTCATGTGGAGAAATTCCATAGGATTGATTTATTACATATTTTCCACAGAAAGAATTGTATTTTCGTTCCTACTGACTTCTGTTTTATTGAAATGACATAGGAATCTATAAAGCAATATAAAAATAGTAACAAAAAATTAACTGAATAAATTAAACCCTTTTTTTATTATTATTTTTTACTATAGTATTATTATTATTTTGATGATCAATATGAAATTACAACCATCTATATCTAAAGGTAACAATGCCAGCATGCAGTGAGCAGACCGAAAAGCTCAACAAGTTTTACAACTTTTTTTTAAAAATGTTACAAATATGGAAGATGCAAACAGAAAAATTGAAAATATGCGTAAAAATGTTGCAAGGGTTAATAGTCTTACACGAGGGCCTAATTTACGGTCATACGCAGTGAAATGAGTATCATGCTATAATTAACTCTCCCAGTGAATGATTTTCACTCAGATTCAGTTTACAGTCTGGCTGCAAAACACAAAGACGATGCACTTAAATAATTGCATGTAATCCAACATCCACAGTATGACACATGTGCTATGTACTCCGATAGTGACAATACAGTAGTTTGAAAAAGAAAAATCTTTATACTGAGAGGCAAGATGGTTTGCAGAAACAAAATGTATAAAAGTCTTGACAGTTACTTTTATTCTCAATTCATGTTAAACGTCACAAACTTTCTTTAATAGTTCTGTGCGTAAAGAGGGTTTTAATTAAAAACCATATTGCTGTAAAGAAAAGTTTTTGAAATGACAATACAGGTTCTTCAGATCAGTATGTTGGTGTCCTGGGACAGGGTTCCTGTAAGAACTGGTGCATAGGTGTTTCCTCGGACTAGAGAGTAAAATGTTCTTTGTGGAACTTTAAAATGTTCTCCTGTAGCATCAGGCTGTTAGTGTGTTTTTCTTCTAATCGGAACCTTTATTTTCAGGAGTGAACAGAAGCTGGTTATTTAAACCTGTAGATGTCAGTATGGCGCTGTTATATCACCATGTTATCTTCCAAAAACCTGACTGCACATTTAACATATTTCCCCCCAACGCTCCGAGGTTCATGTTCAGCAAATATTTCCCTTGTAACCCAGATCTGTATTAACAACCCAAAGAAGTTTTTTTCCCTCCCTGTTCTCGATATCGGCGACACACACCTCTGTGTTTATATTAATAATTTCCATTAGCAGTGATATTCCCCTTGAGGCGAGCAGAGCGGCTGTAGTGTTATCCTATTGGCTCCGCTTACTCGCGCAAACGGACCTTCAATAAGCGCGAGCCAGACGCACCCGCAGCGGAGGATGTTTGCACAAGTTTTTCACAAGACATCACATTTAGCTTCGGTGTTGCTGTGTATCGCAGTCGTATAATGAAGCACTGTGTTGTCTGCAAATAAAAAACAGGTTGAGGTAAACAGCTTAGGGCGGTGAGGCTGAACGCGCTGAGTTCGGAGGGCAAAGATGACATGGTTTCTTCTTGCGCCCTCACTACAAAAATATTCGTGATTGACTGGACCACACATACAGTTGAAGGAAATGTTTATTTATTAGAAACAGACCCGTACGTTTTTTTAAATTTGCTACCGAACACGAATGACCTCATGTACCCGAACGACAAGCCCCTGCTAATTCAGCACCATCGACAGCGACTTAAATGAATTGTGAATATTAATTTCCTGCTATTCTCTTTTTGAAACCTCAACGTATCCTAGATAAGAAGGCGGCGAGCAGGCTGTGAATTCAAACCAGATGCTCTCTAACCACAACTGAGCGCAAAATCTATGGAAAGAAAACAAAAAAGACTATGAAAAGTCCAACAGTTGGACGAGCCATTGCTTTTCAATTTGATGTTCATCTTTAATACGGTTCTATGTGCTGTCACGCGGTTAAAAGCATTAACAGCGTTAAAATGACCACATATGATTTAAACAGGCTTTCATTTGTGTGTTAATGTGCTAAGTATCTTACCATAATTAGGCTAATTATTCCGTCATGAAAAATAAATAATGTGCAAAGCAGTTATCATCTACTGCAAAAAAAAAAAAAAAAACTAATTTTGAAAACGTTTTAAAAGTCAAATCAAAGGGGTGCTAATGTGAACACCTGTAGATGGTCTAAAAATTAGAAGGACCAGTTCGAATTACTTAAAGGGATAGTAAACCCCAAAATTAACAATTTTGACATAATTTATTCACCCCATGTTGTTCCAAACCTGTTCTGTTGAACACAAAAGAAGATATTTTGAAGAAGTTTAGTAACCAGACAGTTGACGGGAAAGCCATGGGGAAAAATACTATATGGAAGTTAGTTGCTACCGTCAAATGCCTGGTTACTAACATTCTTCAAAATATCTTCATTTTTGTTCAACAGAACAAAGAAACTCAGGTCTGGAATAACATTGGGGTAACATTAGTAGCCTAAATGGTGACAAAATATTCATTTTTGGGTGAATTATCCCTTTAAGAAAATCGAGATAAATGGATGGAAACAAAGATGTTACTTGATGAAACATGATTAAATATTTTACAGTGCATCTTTGAAATCATTCCTTTGCGGTATTGTACGTGGAAGTTTATGTAGTAAGCATGTTCATGAACCTGCAGTACATTTTACAAACGACACTGAAGTCTCTGACATACCCGGATCTCCTGTGCCGGATGGCTGAGCTGTCTTTGATGACGGGGCTGCTGGAGAGCAGGTCCGGATGCTGTCCATCTATCACCTCTAAATAATTTCGACTGCTTCTTTCCACCTCATTCGCCTTCTCTTCGAATAAAACTTGGCTACTTAACTTATTAAACACAATTGTGTTCATCTTTGGTATATAAGTCCTTCTTTCCCCCTGTGTCAGTCCGCTGAAAGCGCCTTGGCCGCCGTGGGGATGTCCTACTCAACGGAGCCGCTGCGCCTTGACAAAATCCTGTGAAACAGAATAAATTGTCACTTGTCTTCACTATCATTCCCGAGTTGACCCAAACATACATTGGTAAACATAATTTTCGGTAGGTGAAGACTACATTAAATTTAATTTAAAATAGCCTAAAGATCCCCTCAGCCAAAACAAAACACGCAAAACTCATTAAGCGCGTGAGTCTGAGACAGGCTCGAGTGAGGAATATTGACGGAATTGATATGTTTGAAACTTCTGTACAGTTTATGCAAACTTGCATTAGGCTACATTTAATGTGTTCAGAATGAATGGTGCGTATTTGACACTGGAATGTATACAATGTTGCGTTGACCGGTATTAGCGCATTTCATAGACATGAATAACAAAATGTGTCTGTAAGGTAGTATGAAATGTAGAAATGTTAGTATTTTATCAATGATGTGATAAAAGCGTTGTAACCGCACTTATCCACTTTTACATTTATTTAGGCTACAATCTTATGGAAAGGAAAAGATGTAGGACAAAAAAGTCAACATTTGTGGTCCTTGCAATCCATTGAGAGCAATGGTAATAAACCAAACTTTACGAATCATCCCTGTCACATAGTTATAAAGACTGTGACGCGACAGTGAAAACATTTACAAGTCATAACTGAAAACAGTAGGCTGAATGAACGTACCTGAACGTTCCCCCTTCTGCGTCTTTCTGTAAAGTGTAATCCAGTTTCCAGTTTCCCATTCCCCTCTCACATGTTCTCCGCTCTAAAATCCTGTGCGCAAACCACACGAACCGCTTTCGCCTCTGTGCTTTATTCAAGCGCGCCCGGGAACATGAATTCAGGACTCATCTCGTGTTTCCCAGCTGGCGGCTCAGACGGCGAACATACAGGGATTGTTTTATGCCGGTTTCGCCGGCCTGCAGGGGGAGGCTACCGGGAGACAGTCAGCCAGTGCAACAGTGTATATTCCCTTGTGTGGGTTCACGTCTGGAACGCGTCCATCACCCGACTGCTTGACAGCTGTATTGAGTTACTAATATCAGCCAGAGCTGGTGATTGGATGCAGTTCATCAGAAGCAGCTTCACCTCAGTATATGATGTTCAAAACAGTCACGATTTTGACATGAGACCGATGAATGGATAAATAGTAGTCAAGTGGAGAAATAGGCCTAAGTCAATTAGATGGGGAGAGGACAGAAGCACACTAGCCTACCACGAATTTATTTATAGGTGAAATATGGAGTGTTCTAATAGATTCTGTCTGTAACTCGGTTATTGTCATATATTAGGCATATTATTATAACCCTGATAGTTTCAGGGTTATAACATAGGCTATAATATGCCTAATATATGACAATAACCGAGTGCTGATACAATATTTACATAGTCAGTTTAGAAAACAACTATTTATTCTATACAATTTTCAAATTAATGTCAGTAGATATAGGCTACTGTGTTCTGCCCCACTAAAATAAAATGCGTTTTCTAGGCTAGCAATTGGAACGCTTGCAAACTTCAATATAAAATATTTAAAATATAATTAAAATATATTGATGTAAGCTAATTTCTATTTCATATCATAGGCCTACATTATATAGCTAAAATCCCATGATATCGTTTAATAATATATTTGGTTTATTCCCTGTAATAACGAAAGACCTTGCGGAAGTCTGGGTTCCTTTCGTTCACCAAAAATGCTTACCGCTCTAGGACAGAAAATCCCTTGAGACCTCATTTTTATTGTCTTAACATTTTGAGAGCGGAATCACTTGATTGAACAACCTAATTCTTTTCCAAACATGGTTACAAAGGTCTACAATTAATTCTATTCCAGTTCGCTTAAGAACCTCTATAAACCAATATACAAACAAATTAATTATATCAACCCCATGTGCGATGCTTAATCGGGAGACCTAGCGTGCTGAGGAAACGCTGCTCGCGTGAGTTCCCTCGCGAGCATCGATGTGATTCTGTTACCCTCTCATTTTCCCAAATTACACGACTTACACGTCGCAGTGAATGCCATTGACTGTGTCTTTCGGGTTTATCCAGGGTAGTGTTTGGAGGTGAAGTGACTAAACTCGGAGGCACATATGCGCTCCTTACGCCCCGTATAATTGGCGCGTTCCTTTTATTTGGGTGTATTTTTACCTATTTAATGAACAAACTCTCCCGGACATCAGCAGGGTGACTCACTCACCTCGTGAATGCAATTGAAGACAGTGCTGCCCGACTACTAACGGCCACTGGAATGATGTCCTTTCTCTTACTGTCTCTTGTCTATCAGGGGCTTACCACATGTGGGTGCCCACAGGTTTACTCTAACAGTGGCATCTTAACCACATGCCCTTGGGCAGGTAGTCACATCACTTTGTGGTGTACTTCATTCCGTGGGATGCCCACTGCTTAAAGGTGTGGTCAGAGGGAGAGATAATGTGCTCTGTGAAGCCTTGCTGAAAGTGTAATGACCCTTAAGTGGACTTCACCAGTAAACTGCCCTGGTGCTTTGGGTGTCTGCCAGACCAAGTGTCTTATTTAAGATCTTGGTTTATTTGTACAGTGTTTCTACCAATGGATGTTGTTGCTAATCAGCTTGACACGTCTACATTTTCAGTGGGTTATTGTTGTACTATGTAATGGCATTTAAATGATTCATTTGATATAATGCACTTAATGTGTACATTTTTACACTGTACTTAGGCTATATAAAAAAAGCCCTGCATGTATTTACATCTGTAATTAAGTTCTGTAATTCCATCTATAATTACACTGTTGACCCTTTCCTTACACGCAGGGCAGTCCCAAGCATGGGGTGGGGCCAAGTGTGAGTTAGGGGGTTGAAGGGTAGAGGGTAGTTGGAAGTGGATTGCTTCCCCGTCGATCCATTCGCTACCGCCTTCAGTCCGTCCGGCCCCCTAAAGCACAGGGCCCTAAGAACCTTAACCCACTCTTAAACCTAACCATACAACCAAACCTGTTCCTAACTTTAAACCCATCCCACCTCAATGGAGGCAAAACTGTTTTGCAATACAGCATGAACAAGATAAGTTCATTGTACTAAATGTAATTTTTTTGATGTAGGCTACTGTAAGTAGTAAAGATACGTAATATAAAGTGGGACTGAATATTTAGTGCAGATTTACTTTGACAGTAAGATGTAGGTTGGCTTGCAAACAGAAACTCTGACAGAAAACATTTACTAAACCCATGGGCAAAGCAAGTGTTCTTCATTACTATTTTATTTCCTTTTCTGCTGGAGCAACATACTTGTGTTTTATTTGCCGAGTTGCCGCAACAGCATCTGCATAAAACAATTAAGTGTTTATGAAGAGCTAACCCAAACTCCGTTTACAGGATAGACAGAAGTTTGATGACAAACTTGGAGAAATTCCACACCGCTGAAGCTTTCAGCATGTGACCATGTGGTAGTGCCATGCAAACAAGATGCATCCATGTTTCGAATGGCGAATTTGAGAGTAATAGAACTGGCTTAAAGTAAACGCAGGTAGATTTTTCGCCGTAGTTGTAATTTCCTGACATTACCTTTTCATTCGAATCTCAAAATCCCTTTTCTGGTATCATTAATACAGTCTGTCCCTCATTTAAACCAACATTTTCACACCAGCCACAAGCCTTAAATAGGAGTTGAGCAGCCATTGAATGTTGCGCTGTTGGGGCCACTTAAAGAAAGCCACAGACAAGATTTGTTAAAATCATTGGGCCTTGTGGAAAATATAAACTGTTGAACAATTACACCTATTAGAGATTGTTAAAAGTGATTCAATCAGTGTTTTTCAAATGACCTTAGCACAAGTCACAGTGTGTACACTCTCAGCAGCTTTTCCACACATACTTAAGGCCATTACTGTGTCCAACCTGAATGGCATTAGTGTCTTTCATGCTGGCAAACACAATGTCTTGAAGAATAATTGTGTGTTGAGCTGTTGGTTAATTTTTTCCCCACCTTTCCTTTCTTTCTCAAGCAGTGTTTTTCTTTTAAAGACGGTTTCCTAAAATACATCAATGCCTGTGAAGTATGCGTGTCGTGTTTTGTTTAGTAATCTACTGGGTCGCCTGGCTCTGTGTTTTGGCACGCTGTTATCTTTTCAGGTTGCACTGTTTTCAGAGGTAATACTGTTCCTTTTTTGAAGTGGCTGCTTATTCGTGTGGTTGGTGTATTGAGGTTGGACGCTTCGTGACCTCATATTAAGAAGCTTGTGTGCATGCTGACAAAGCAGAGTTTATTTTAGATTTCAGGAGAACAAAGGAACTTTCGATATAACATTACATAGAGCACATTTAGACATGGTGCCATTATGTGATTTACAGATAGCATTATGAGCAACTAGCAGCAGTACATCAAATATGTAAAAACCATAAAAGATTGTGGCACATATAAGGATGATTGGCAGCAGTTTGATATATCCGGTCCGATCAGTTACCACCACCTTCTCCTGCTGTGTAAAAATCCAAAGCAAAAAGCTCCCATTACACTGCCTCGAACACACTATATGAGCAGAAAAAAATCTGATAATCATCAGCAGTTGGCCTGCTGCTGTACTCCCTCTGTCTGTCTTTTTCCGTCTCGGTCTCGACCTCCTCTCTCTTTCTCTCACCCATGTTGGGTGCTGAGAGCTTGATGAACACATCCTGATGAAAAGTCAAGGATAATATCATTCTTGGTCCAAAGCCACAAGTCTCCCAGGTAGGTTTAGAACCCAGAAAGGAGAAGGTCTGTGCTGCTCTAGATCTTATACATGTCCTAGTGCTTAATGTGTGTGTGTGTGAGATAGGTAAGGTATAGTATATACATTTATAACTGGTTGCTATCATATATCAGACTCATTTATTGGCATAATTTTTTCTATAATAATATAAGAAACCCAGTAGAATACAATCCTACATTTAATGGGTTTATTTCAATTAATTTGTTTTTGGAGTCTACAGCTCTATATATTGATGTATAATTTGTGTGTATGTATGCCGTTATGAACGCTATCAAACGTAAAGTTAGGTCTTTTTTTATTTTATTGGGTGATTTTTACGAGTGCTAAACCCTAC